GGTGCATTAACCCACAGCACCACACCAGGACTCCTCAGTAGGAGCTCACTAATGAAATCTACCTATGGGAAGTGTCTCTTGAGCAGAAATGGGGACTTTGCTTTATAGAAAACTCCATTGTCCTTCATCCAAAAGATAATTATTTCGCAGCCTTGGAGGTATTCATTCATTCATTCTTTCGTTCATTTCACAGCCTTGGAGGTATTCATTCATTCATTTGTTCTTTCATTCATTTAGCACACAGGAATTGAGTACCCACTGTGCCAGGTACATTTCTAGGGCACAACACAATGCTATTGCCCACAGAGAGCTTTCTTTAGGGAGGGAGACATGCCATAAACAAGCAGACCTGTAATACATTGTCAAGTGATGATAAATGTAATCAAGATTAGTCATGCTGGGTCAAGTAGGGGCTGGAGAAAGTGGTGGGCCTGCTGTTTTAGATGAGAATGAATAACCAAGGGAACAGTGCTTATAGGGGAGGAGGAAATGACCAATCCTCTGAGCATTGCCCACCCTCACCTTGACCCAACTAATCGTTCTACTCGATAGGAGGTAGGACAGCCCAGTGGGAGACTGTGGGCTTCAGAGGCGGCAGACCCCACTTTGGCAAATCCAGGAAGGTTTCATAAAATCTAAACCAAACTCAGTGCCATGGAGTCCATTCTGACTCATTGCAATCCCTTAGGACAGAGAAAAACAGCTCCGTAGTGAGCTGACAACCTCATCTTTTGACCACAGAGGGGCTAGTGGGTTTGAAATGCTAACTTCCGGTGGGGACTTGAGTAAACTGATGAAGAGTTTTGGAGTCAGCTCTGGGGTACTGCCACTTGCCCACGATGTGACCAGCCTCTACCTCTCTGACCCTCAGGTATTCTCATCTATAACATACGGACAGTCTTTACCTCATAAAATGGTTATGAGGCTGAAAAGAGATAATGAAAGCCAACAGGAAATTGTAACTGATTTTATTATTACACTGCTTTGGGCCCCATCTGGACATGGGAGGGAAAAGCACCCAAGACCAAGAGAACAGTCTGAGCTGAAGCCTGAGGTGGGGAATCCCAGCATGGGCTGGAAGCAGTGCAGATTGTGAGCAGAGGGAACTAACATTGGAAAGGCAGAGTAGTCCCATCCCAGAGGTGATTGGGACTGCTAAAGGTTAGATGTCAGTGAGTGACAGATGGGAGCTGATAAGATACAGCTCATTGGGTGGTTTTCAAATTGCACTTAAAATCTTATTGGACAAATCAGGGTATAAAGTTGACCGAAGAGAAGCATGTAGCATGACAATGAGGATAGATAGCTTTGGGCTAAAATCCAGGCCGAAGTTTAAAGAAGTTTAAAGGTTCAGTGACCTTGACCTTTATTTGTAGGGTCTCTCCTCGTCCATCTGTAAAGTGGGAGATACTGGCACCTACCTTGTAGACCCTTGGAATCCTGGGGTGGTGCTGCTGGATAATGCGCTAGACCACAAAGTCAGTTTGAACCGCAAGGTCGGTGATTCAAACTCACTAGTCGCTCCTTGGAAACCCTATAAAGAGTCGCTTTGGGTTGAAACTGACTTGACAGTACTTAACAACAACAACCTTGTAGGATTGGTGAGAGGAAATGAGATGATGCCTGGAACAGGGCAAAACATGGTTGACATTTGCCAAGTAATTACTTTTATCATTCAAAGGTGGGGTGTTGAGGATTCCCTCTAGCTATCTCCTCCTGCCCACCATGGCAAGAGGTGTTCAGGGCCCTTTGCAGCAATTTCAAAGCCAGTGGGTCAAATGAATGATGACAGACGTTTTTATTTTGCCCCTCTTCCTTTCCAGGCAAAATTGAATTCTTTTGAATTCTCTTTAATTGTCCCAAATGGAAACCACCATTCATTGAACAAATGTTTATAAATGCTTTCTATGCTTACTAAGGAGTCCTGATGGCACAGTGGCTAAAGCGCTCAACTGCTAACCAGAAAGTTGAAGGTTTGAATCCACGATATGATCCATAAGAGAAAGATCTGGCAGTCTGCTTCCGTATAGATTTACAGCCTTGAGAACTCTATGGGGGCAGTTGTACACTCTGTCCTGTAGGGTTGTTATGAGTCAGAATCAACCCGATGGCAATTTTTGGTTTGGTGCAATGGTTAAGCACTCAGCTGCTAACCAATAACAGAAAAATTCACCTGGGTGTGTTGACAATCTTCTCCTATAAATATTACCACCTAGAAAGCCCCATGGGGGAATGCAGTAGCTTTGTTGGATAAACATTGGACTGCAAACCCAAGGTGGGTGTTTCAAGCCCACTAGGCACTCCACAGGAGAAAGATGAGGCTTTCTACTCCCACAAAGATTCACAGCTATAGAAGCCGTATACCGGGTCACTGTGAGTCGGAACCAACTTGACGGCACTTGACAACAACAACAATACTTATGTATGGGCAGAGGGAGATAAGCAATAAACTATAAGCATAAACAAGTAAGTGATTGATAAGATTGTGGTGTGTGCCATGGATAAAGCAGAGTATAAGGGACGGAGATGGTAGGCTGAGGTGGAGGGTCAGCGAGGGGTCACTGAGGTGTGCAGTGTGAGCAAAGACCTGAAAGAGGAGAGGGAATTGGCTGTGTGATTATCTGGGGGAAAGGAGGGCATTCCCAGCAGAGGGAACAGCCCGTGGGAAGGCCTTAAGGTGGCAGTGTGCATGGTGGGAATCAAGGAGCGACAAGGAGGCCAGTGTGTCTGGAGCAGAGTGAGTGAAGAAGTGGGATGACAGTAAGATTTCTCTTTCTCTTCCTCTTCTACTGGCTAGCTGGTCACAGTTGAATTTGAGTAAGTGAAATGATCCTGCAGCTCAATAAAATAAGCATTAGGGAGAGTCGGATACAATGTCATGGTAAAGCAGAAGACTAATTGTTCTAGACCCAAGGAGAAGGAAGGCAATTTGACTATAGAAATCCTTGACAACAAATAGAACTCCACACTTTACTTAGGCCAGTACACGGTGTGGAATCAGCTTGCAGAAGCCCATTTGGTCTTTGCTCCCAGTTCTTTCCCAGTACCAATACCTGAAGCTAATGAATAGGGGCTGACCTGACTAAGAGGGACCACCTGGGGGTCCAGTGGAGCCTAAACCTCACAAGACATGCTATATTGTATCATGACCAAGTGGTGACTGGAACCTCCTACAAATTAGACATTTATGTGCATCAAAAGATTATACCACAAGAATAAAAAGAGAACCCACAGATTGAGAAAAAAAACTTGGCAAAGATATATCAGATAAAGGAATGATTTCTAAAATTTGTAGAACACTTCAACACCTCAACAAGAGAAAGAGAAATAATCCAATTAATAAATGGGCAGAGGACATGAACAGACACTTCATCAAAGAAGACATTAAGGCTGCCATTATCCATTAGAGAGATGCAGAGGAAAACAATGAGATACCATCTCACCCAGCTTTAATCGCAAATTCAGAAAACAACAAATGCTGGTGAGGGTGTGGAGAGACCCGGAGCCTTCAAACAGTGCTGGTGGGACTGTAAAATGATACAACCACTGTGAAAAATGGTACGGCACTTTCTCCAAAAAATTGAAAATAGAAACATCATTTGGCCTAACAATCCCTTTACTTGGTTTATATCCTACAGATACAAGCGCCATGACATGAATAGATGTGTGCATGCCCAAGTTCATCGCAGCACTGTTTATAGGGTCACTATAAATCAGAACCAACTTAACAGCACATCACCACCATCACACTGAAAGAGACATTATTTGTTGGATACCAGAGTGGGAGGGGAGGTATGTGTGCCATAAAGTTGGTTCCAACCAATGGTGACCTTGTACAGGGTTTCTGAGGCTGTAAATCTTTAATGGAGCAGAAAAGCCTCACATTTATCTCACAGACAATTGGTGGATTCAGACTGCTGACCTTCCAGGTAGCAGCACAATGCATAACCTACAATACTACCAGGGTTCCTAGAGTGTTGTTGTTGTTGTTAAGTGCCATCGAGTCAGTTTCGACCCATAGCGACCCTGTACAGGGTTTCTGAGGCTGTAAATCTTTACGGGAGCAGAAAGCCTCATCTTTCTCCCACAGAGCAGCTGGTAGTTTCAAACTGCTGACCTTGTGGTTTGCAGCCCAGTTGGTAACCACTACGCTACCAGAGTGTAGACAAGTTGAAACTTGGGTGAAGGGGAAAATAACAAGATTTTAAAAAGGAATAAATTAAAATTTCATATATAAAAAAGAAAGAAAGAAAATTAAAACACACACACAACCAAAATAAGATAATTTTGAGATAGTGTTAGTAGGTAAAACCCACAGCAGGCCCAATTTATAACCGGCATTTTGGAGTGAACTCTTTTCTTTCTAAACTTCTATCTGAAAGTTTAAATGGAAGCCAGAGTTCAAGGTGGCTCACAGGGATCTCCATGGCAACAGTTCTACCACAGTCCAACAGAGGATCTTGGACTATAACATTAACAAGACCAGATTGAAAAAAAAGGAAATGTTGGCACTTCAGTTGCCTTGTGGACTGGGCTGGAGGATGGGGTGGATGGTGTTAAGTGCCGTCTAGTTGGTTCCAACTCATAGCAACCCTGTCTAGGATTTCCAAGGAGTAGTTAATGGATTTGGACCGCCAATCCTGCAGTTCACATTGACTTTGCGGTCCAGTGCATTATCCTGCAGCACCATACCAGCACCCATTGCTTCCCTCCTCCTCCACAAGCCACTACAGTATGACAAACTGGCACAGGAGTTGTTGTTAAGTGCCATTGAGTCGGTTCCAACTCATAGTGAGCTTGTCTAGGGTTTCCAAGGAGCAGCTGGTGAGTTTGAACTGCCAACCTGTGGTTCACAGTCCAGTGCTTATCTTACAGCGTTACCCTAGGATTTTGTCAAAGTGATGGAAGGAAAATCTGCTCGTTGCTGAAGCCTAAACACGAGTCCATTCATTGATTCAGATACCAGGCATTTTCCTGAGCTCCCCGTCTGTGGCGGGTACATGAGTGACCACCAGAACACAGATGTGGAGGCTATGCAGAGGCAGCTCTGGCTCCCCAGGGTGAACAAGGAGCCGGATGCAGTAGCCACCACTCTGAGTACACAAGGTTAGGACAGGGACGTTAAGTGAGATGATCCATGCAGAGTCCCAGGCCCGCCTGCGTTCAGTGATTGGTGGCTACGCTGCTCTTTGTTGAGCATGGCCTCCTGGGTAGAGGAACTTGTTGTTAAGTGCCATTGAGTCGGTTCTGACTCATAACAACCCTGCATAGGGTTTCTGAGGAGCAGCTGGTGGGTTTGAACCGCCAACCTTGTGGTTAGCAGTCCAGTGCTGAGCCTATAGCGCTCCACCAGGACTCCAGGTGGAGGAACTAGCAGGGGCGCAGTGCAGAGCAATGCTGACTCTAAGCTTCTGGCTAACTATAGGATCCCTCTTTCCTATAGGCCTCTTCAAGATTCCATACCCTTTGGACCCCACAGGCTGGTTTTTCAGGTTTGCTTCCCCAGGTTCAGAAGAACCTTCAGAAGCTGGACAGCCTGCCTGGAGACTTAGAGAGAGAGGGCCCACAGTTGTTTTCTTGAAAACTGGGTAAGTGTTATTTAAGGTTTCTTTTATCTTCAGAGTCCCCTTAATTATTTTAAATTGTCTCACTTATGAGTTTACATGTTTATTGTCTGCCTACCTCATTAGAATATAGTTTCCATGCTGAGTGACTGTCTCTTTGACTTAGTCACCACTGTGTTCCCATCATGCAGCACACTACCTGGTACATTAAGAGACTGTAACTCTTTATAGGAGTAGACATTCTTATCTTTCTTCCTGGGAGCAGCTAGTAGATTTAAACCACCGACTTTGCAGTTAGCAGCCCGATGTGTAACCCATGGCACCACCAGTGTTCCTTTGTTGTTGCTGTTTAGTGCTGTCAAGTCGGTTCCAACTCATTGCAACCCTGTATAGGGTTTACAAGGAGTGACTAATGAGTTTGAACCACCGACCTTGTGATACAAACTGACTTTGCCATCCAGGGTTTTCTCCCACTGCACACTAGTGTTATTTGTTGTTGCTGTTTAGTGCCATTGAGTCGATTCTGACCCACAGTGACCCTGGATAAGGTTTCCAAGGAGCAGCTGGTGAGCTTGAACCATGGACCTTGCAGTTCAAATGACTTTGCAGTCTGACTCATTAGCCCACAGCACCACACCAGGACTCCTTAGTAGGTGTCAAAACATGCTTATGACTTTAATCAGCTGGTTAACTTGGAGTGTAAGTAGATATTTATTTATTATGTACTTCTTGTTGTTGTTGTTAAGTGCTGTCAAGTCAAATCCGACTCATAGAAATGTAGTCTAGGGTTTAAGTAGCAGCTGGTGGGTTTGAACTACCGACCTTGTGCTTTGCAGTTCAGTGCTGATTTACAGCATCTCAACAGGAGTCCACTTGACTTTAAGAAAGGGTCTTTAAAAGTCTGTGGACTTTCCATGCTTTTTTTTAACTTTTTATTCTGAAAAATGATAGACCTACGCCTGGCTACACACCCGCAGTCTGCTCACCCCAGCGGCCTTTGCTTTAACAGTTAATTCTAAACTCTTTAGTTAAACGATCAAGGAAGGCCCGTCATGGAGGTGATATTTGGACTGAAGATTCAGGAAGAGTGTTCCAGGCAGGGTGGAATACTAGGTGCAAAGGCCCAGAAATGGGAACCAGCCTGTATCTTTGAAGAGCAGAGACTGCCAGTGTGGCCCAATGTAGTGAATAAGTCCAGCATGCAGCTTAGCGGGAGGCAGGGGCCAGGTCCCAGAGGATTCTGTTGGCCATGATAAGGAGATTGACATTTATCCTGGTGTGATGGGAAGCCTTCAGAGGCTGGTAAGCAGACAAGTGACGTGATGAGTTGTTTTTATTGTGAAGTGCCATTGAATCGGTTCTGACTCATAGCAACCCTGTCTAGGGTTTCCAAGGTTTGAACCATTGACTGGTAGGTTTGAACCATTGACTTTGTGCACCTTACAGTTAGCAGACCAGTGTTTATCCTACAGCGCCACATATGATGAGTATATATCCCCAAAAGGCCACTCAGGCTACTTTGTAGAGAATGATTGGCAGAGGATCAAGACTATATTTTGCTGAATGAATGAATTTGACCTGCACTAAGACTTTTGTGTAGAGTACCTTCCCCTTCCTCTGTGGTTAGAGGCAATAGCTGTTTGTTCTTGACCTAAGATCTTGTTGACCAGCCCAATAAAATACCATTGTGGGCTCCCCTGACTAAGAACTGCAGCTATTGCAGCCTCCAAATGACTTGTGAAGTTGATTCAGTGAACAGGAAATTGCTGCACCTCCTGGGTGCTACCCTTGGTGCTTTGAACTTTAGTTGATTTGAGCTGTCCCTCTTTGTTTACCACCCTGGAGGCTGGGGGAGAGGAGAGTCTGTGTGCTGAGCTGATCCTCTGAACCACAAAAAAAACTACAGTTGAATGCTTCAATTTCTCCATCCAAAATAAGGGAAGGAGGGACCCTGGGGTGGGATAGAGAACGAGTGTGGGATTTGGAGCCAGTAGTCTGGTGAAGATCTCATCACTTACTTTGGAAAACATCTTTTGGCCTCTTAGCCTGTTTCCTCAGATATGTGACGAGATTGTAATGGTTCATACCCTGCTTAAACACAAGGTAGTTGTGAGAACTGAAGGATGGAAAGGACTTTGTAAACTGTCAGGAGCTATGCAAATGTTGCTGTGTTGCTAGTAAGTACCACAGGGTTTTGAGAAACAGATTAATTATTAGTCGTGGACAGATTTTTAAATAACTCCTCTGCATAAATCATATTTTGGGAACTTTTTTTTTTTTTTGACTCAGCTGGATAGGAGTGAAGCTATGGACCAAAAACAGGGCAGAATATGGTTATTAGACTAGAAATCTTTTATATATATATATTTCAATGCATTTATTACACAGAGAAGATATTGAAGGCAATTTTGTTTATCAGAATGCTAAAGTACTCTTTCACATCCCCAGACTCCTCTGTTTTGGACCAAAACTGGGGGAAAGGAAGATTTGCATTTACCCATCACCAGCACTACATTATTGTTCATCCATTCTTTTTAAAAAACCAAAAAACTTTTTATTGTTAAGGTTTACAGAGTAGATCATCCGTTTTATGTGCAACAAATCATATACTTTGCTTCATTACAATGACTGTAATCCTCTCCATGTACCATCCATTAACCTCGGTTCACTTTAACCCTTGCATTCCTCACTGTGTCTCCACTACCTTCATCTTTCCTTTGCCAGCCATCCTCTGGTTGTACATTGCCTTCCCTGTCACCAATGTTAACTTTCTAGCCCATGAATAATTTTTCCTTCCCCCTCTCCCAGTAACCATCACAAAGTTTTTCTTTTATCAAGAAAATCTTTTCTTAACTTTTTTATAACAGTCGTCTCATACAATACTTTTCCATTTCGGATTGACTAATTTCACTCAGCCTAATGAGCTCTGGTAGCGTAGTGGTTACGAATCGGGCTGCGAACCTTAAGGTCTGTGGTTCGAAACTACCAGCTGCTCCGCGGGAGAAAGATGAGGCTTTCTACTCCCGTAAAGATTTACACCCTCGGAAACCCGGTACAGGGTCGCTATGGGTCGGAACCGACTCGATGGCACTTAACAACAACAACAATGAACTGCAAAGTCAGTGGTTCAAGCTCACCAGCTGCACCTGGGAAACCCTATACAGGGTTGCTATGGGTCAGAATCAACTTGACAGCACTTAACAACAACAACAGTGTACTCCAAGAGTCCTGGTGTGGCGCTGTGGGTTAATGCACCAGACTGCAAAGCCATTTAAACTGCAAGGTCAGCAGTTCAAGCTCACGAGCTGCTCCTCAGAAATCCTATACAGGGTTGCTATGGGTCAGAACTGACTCAATGGCATTTAACAACAACAACTGTACTCCACGTTCATTCATGATCTGAGGTGTTTTGCAGGTTCATTGTTATCCGTCAATGTTGCATTGTATTCTATTATGTGTATGTACAAAAGTTTGTTTAACCTTTCTTCTGCTGTTGCGGAGGTTGTTTCCCTCTTTTTTTTAATTTTAATTTATGGTTTTTATTGTAGATTGAGTAAAAGTTTACAGGGCAGATCATTAGTTTTACAATCAACAAATCATACACCTTGTTTCATTACAATGATTATAATCCCCTCCATGTGCCAACAATATTTCTCTATTCACTTTAGCTTTTTTTTTTAAAACACTCAGGCATATACAATAATTTACACCACCAAAGGGCACATTCTGCAAGTCTGCCTACTGGCCACCAGCTCTTAGTCCCTCACTTCCCAAGACTCTAGCGTCCTCAGCTGTTCCCTCTCTCTGTGTCCCCGTCTCTGTCTCCATCTCTGGTGTTGCTGTTTCTCTGGATAAGGTCTTTCATTCTGCTTGTGCTCTTCTCCCTTGATGATCCTAGGGTCCTTTGTTTCTGGACGGTAAGATTAACCACTCCCCTGTTTTTGTTACAAAACTTCTACCTTTATAATTGTGAGAGTCACAATTAGTCATGATAACAACTACTCATGATTGAATCAGAAGAATCTTATCCCCATCTCTTTTACCAGACCCATCTAGACAAGATGAAAACTATTCAGTGGGGACTCTATTAAACTAAGCTCCCCCTTAAAACCTTGTAAGCCAGTCACTTCGTGCCTTTATCACCCCCTCATTTTTGGTAGCCACTGTCTAAGTTAAGGAACTCTGGTAGCATAGTGGTTACGAATCAGGCTGCTAACCTCAAGGTCAGCAGTTTGAAACTACCAGCTGTTCCACAGGAGAAAGATGAGGCTTTCTGCTCCTGTAAAGATTTACAGCCTTGGAAACCCTGTGCAGGGTCACTACGAGTCAGAACTGACTCCACGATACTTAACAACAACAATATCTAAGTTGCCCTTCCCTATCTACTCTGTATATAGAGAGGATAGCATTGATACTATCAAAGGGGGGAAAGGCCGCAATGAATCAGTTCCAACTCAGGGCGGTCCCATGTGTGTCAGAGTAAAACTGCTCCCTAAGGTTTTCAATAAGGTCAGCAGTTCGAAACTACCAGCCGCTCCACGG